GATTACCCGGTAAAACCACTCCAAATATATCAAATAAAATAGTGAACATCACAATGTAGTCCAGTTCAGTAGGAGACATACAATTCCAGTTATGTAGCTATGAGGCTGTTTTGTAATAAAAGCCTATGAAAATAACTCTGAAGACAGTTTCACATAAAACCCAGTATATTTGATAAATTTACATAAATCTAAGCCTAATTTACATATTAACCAAAGGATTTTACACCTAACTGTTAGACGGCTGTAGACAAATGGGTCAGAAGCTATGAATTTAAATTTTGTGATATTCAGTCCTTGTCAACAATTTAATGCTTTAGTTATTGAAATGTAGTTAGCAGATACTTCATTTGCAAAAGAAGGTTTGGAGTTGTGAATACAAACAGCAAATTGATTAAGTACTGTGATTATAGCTTGGAAGTTTTGAGACAAATACTAGAAAATCGAGTTACAGCATAAGTTATTGAATAAAGAAAAGCTGTAAGTACTTGATGTTATATCAATAATTTTTAACTACAACTAATTTAAATAAAGTGTCATTAGTTTGTTTTAAACTCAGTCCAAGAATAGCTTATGAATATGAAATAATTTACTTAAAGTCATATTAGTTACATTCATTGACACATAAAATAGTTTGTTTTCCATAAACCGCTGTAATGGTACAAAAAAATGATAGAACCAATTTTAGGAAGCAATACTTTCATAATTTACATGGAAAGTACCAAAACTACCGACATAATTTATTCCATGAATTGAATGAACCACATTAATCAGCATTCTAAACAATTGCTTATGATATTGATCCTCAGTTATTTTGTCAGAAATATCTCACGATTAGACGTTTTAGTTTTTTGTTGAAGTCTAGTACTAACCATGTGACTGTCATTATTTGTAGTTGGTTTTAGGACCTATAAAATGTGAAGTGATTTATTCATCTGTGAAAAAACATAGATAATCTTCGTCTTTCATTGATTTTTTACAAGATTGCTTTTAATTAATGTTCAACACTTAAAGACAGTCAGTAAACATTTGAATACTGTTTATGGTTTTTTAAATTATTAGCAAAAAAACAAAAAGGGAAAAGGGGTTTTGTGGAGATTATAGTAATTTAATAAGTAAATTCATGAGTCAATTAAAGCTAGACTGGGTTTTTCATGGTGGTCTCATGAATTCAACTATTAAAAATGGGGAAATTTTAGTGAAAATCAAACACAATCTAGTTTAATTTATAATAATTAAACATTTCAATTTACTGTTGTTAGGCTTTTAAGAGAAATGATTACTGGATGCTTTAGTGTATTTTATTTTTAACCTCATTTTAGACATTGAAATGATATTTTATCAAGAATTTAAACATTTATCTTTCTATAATGTGCTTCTGGAATGAAGATGGTTAAAGATTAATAAATGGAATATACATAATTTACTCTGTTCATTTCATTGATTTACAGTAATCTACTAAAGTAAACATGAACATTTGGGCTATTAAAATAAATACTTTAATTTTTTGGACTTATTAGTTATTTCAGATATCATGGGATTCATTCAGTATATGCACATGCGAGTTACGTTTTTTTAAAGATTAAGCCCAACTTATCGTTTATCGCCTTCTTAATGAGATACTATGTGGGTTTCCTGTGATCTGTCCAATTTTTGTATCTTAGAGAATAGTTTTGTGGATGAGATTTTTTTTAGATGATAATATTTGCGAAATATTTGCAATCGAATACATAGATATTTCACAAACAACAGTCTATAATATATAGAAATGCGTTGAGTTATGACAAAATAAAATTTATGTGAAAGCCAAAGGACCGTTAAAGGCAGTAAAGTGAAAATAACATATGGAAGGAAGAGTCAGGAGATAGTTGTACACATGCTGAATATAAGGACGAAACAACTATTTGTTAAAAACAACTTACAAAATTAGAAGGGAGGGTTATAACCTTGATAGAATAGGCCTAATTTGATGAATTATCAAAAAATATACTGCAGATACATTTCTCATTCAACTTCTTTTGGATCCAGTTACTTTGACGCTGGCTAGTTGTAGGTGATAATTCATGTGGAGACAGATGATAAGAATTGATTAAACATTCAATGATATAACTGATGACTGCTATGTAATTATCTTTAGAGAGCCGTAAAAAGCAGTTCTCAGATATAAGTCTACAAAAAAAGCACGACAAACATAATATGATCTGCGAGAGTAAATAAACCAGTAGATTCTCATTGAGGTGGCTCGACGCAGAGGTTTATCCTTGACACATCTTCAAATCAGTTACCTACCAAAAAATATAATTCGTAGGTCATATAAAAATATTCTTATCAGAGGACTCGATTATCGTATTTTCAAGATTTCAGCTGCCGTATTCCCTTCGTAAACAATGTTAATATATAATTTCTTCCAAATAATAGTGGGAGTTATTTCCATTCGATGTTTTGTTTGAAGACTGTCAGTAAACTTGGAAGCGAACCCAATTTCCATAAATGTCCGTATTATTTTATTTACTTCGTCATCAAGTATGTTTTGATAACATTGTCAATGACTCAACATCCTTTCATTTTATTATAGCTTACTTTGTAGGAAACAACTATAAATACGGTTGTAGAGCTTCAGTAAAGAACATCGTCTAGAAGATTTCCTGCGTTGAACTGTCATTCTTTTTGCATCTGCTGATAATTACATAAGAACAATTAAATGAAAATTTACGCCCATAAAAGCTTTGACGAATATATCTCACTTCAACAGAAAAACCTGGACAATTTTTTATTTGAGAAGGGGGCTATATGTCAAGAAGTATAACATATTTACTTCTGTAGTGTCTTTCCAGTAAGTTCAATTTTATCCTATTGAAATATCATATGGTCAACAATAAGGAAAAAAATGCCTTGAAAATGTTAACCTCAGATTTTCTGTTAAATTTCTCATGAGTTTCGCAGCTAATAATGGTGGTCGTTGCTGTTTCTTCTTACTGATCTCTAAGTGACTTTGACGAAGATACATAACTGCGTACAAACTCTATAGTGAATAAACATTTTCCCCAAACACTTGTAACCAGATTGATCAAAGGTTTCCAAAGAATCACCATACAGTTTATATATTTTATCAGAATTTACAGTAATAACATTCCTAGGTGATAAATAAAACTTTACTATAAGCTAACAGTTAATGAAATAGTAAAATAAGAAGACAGGCACAAGTTTAATGGATAAATTGGACTGTAATCTGGAAATAATAGTGGAATCCGACAAAATTGTATGTTATGTGTACTCAGAAACTGTTAATATGGGTATATATGAATGAAATTTATAAATGATAATTATTTGATTTCCTCTTTGAATAATTTAGTGATAATGCTGCAGACACTCATTTCATGCTTTAATTCTAATCTGAAACACTACACAACTCTCTATATCCAATTCTTAACCAAAAATATTTCTCGTTTGTTTCAACACGTTTCCTTCTATATAACCTGTATCTCTCATCTAAATGGTGAAATTCGCAAGTCCATGGGACGTGATTTTATAGAATACTAAAATAACATAAATGTTACTATTCAAATTCATATTTGGGAATAATGAAGATCTAAGTGCCTTGATGACGTTCAATACATTATATTCACCACGTTAGTGTATGTAAACGTGCATCTAGGTCATCATTTAAGTATGAGAGATAGTGATGTACCGTTGCTGAGCATACGCAATAATAGTTGTTTTAATCTGCAAACAAATGGTCAGAAATAATTCGTACCAAATATCTTTTATTATTGCTAAAGTTAAGTCACTGTGATACAATTATAGTACGATGCAGAGTAAATGAAACGTATGTGAACATATGCCATTAAATAAGGTTTATGTTTGGAGTAAAATCCCTTAATTTTAGTTTTAAAAGTATACCTACTTCAGTACATCACAAACGTTACATGTGGTAAGTTCTTTTCAGAGGAAAAAATTAAAATACTAATTAAATTAGTAATTAATAACAATAATATTATTATATAAGCTGAAATAATCATATATATATATATATATATATATATATATATATATATATATATATATATATATATATATACATATAACTATGGCTTAGTTTCACCGCAGACGTTCTGTGTTCTTATTTTTTATTGTGTACATCTTAGTTTAAAAAAACTTAAAATCATTAGGATGAAATAAACTGTATTGAGCAAAAGTTCCAAAACGTTTGTGTCGCCTAATAAAATTTCATTTTACAGAACAGTTGGTTCATTTGAAAATTTATATTAGTAATTTATTTCTCTCTGTCTAATTACCTTGTATTGAAATTATGTTTCCAGAACCTAATTAATCAACTCAATTTATTGACGATTTAGTCTGTTATTCACTAATAATGTAAACATATAAAGCTTCATTTATTGTGATGACATAATGGCTGAACGTTTAATGCTACAGTTTTATAAACGTAGATTTCATTACTAAATTAATGAATATGTTTATTTTATAAAGTTATTACATTGGCAATTAAAGTTTGATAAATAAATATAATTAATCTCGTTAAAGCAACATTTTTCTGAACTATTTTGCTTGTATCAGTCATAATATTGTGAAACACCTACTAAGTAGTTTAGTAAGATAGAAGTAACCCAATTTTCTTAAAAATCTGATTAACAATTATGTTCCAGTTCATAACAATAAGATTTAATTCTCCAGTAGGAATGCTTACTGAGTGATGTCCAAACAACTTAAAATGATAAATTATTTAGGGTTTATCTCTTTTAAAATCTTCGAAGATTAAAATTAATAACTTGTATGAACTTTTGATGGATGACCTTTTTTAAGACAGTGCTCTTTGAAACATTATTTTCAAAAAATTTATTATTATTGTAACACTACTTTTATTTCAATAGGTAAACATTGCCTAAAAATTTGGTCTGTGAATTATTCATAGCTATAAAGTTTAAAAAAAATTAGTACAACAGATGTTTTAAAAAATGATTAAATAAATTCGTTCTTTAACTTACTTTCCCGATAACTATACGTTCATAAATTTCTATTGGTTCATCTGCAAAAAACGGTGGATGACCAGCTACCATTTCATAAATTAATACACCAGTTGCCCACCAGTCGACAGCTTTTGTATAACCCTATAAATAAGAATATAAATAAAACCATAGTTATTTATTAATGCATTAAAATTAATTGAAAAAACATTTTGAACTTAACAGCCATAACAAGTGAATTGTTGATAAAACAAAATCTGAATTCTTTAGGCTCTTCAACTTTTTATTAACATTTAAGCATGGTATTATGAACACATAAATGTCATCAGTTCATTTTAATGAAATGTCTTGGATAATGAAACGTAAAAAATAAGAGTTAATTATTAAATAAATAGACAATCCATTATATAAATATATAAACCACGTTTCTAAAGCATTCGATTATAAAGTGAATTGTGTATTAGAATATATCTTCATAGTTTAAGAGAAATCCATAATTCGTTTAATCCAATAAAATGTTGATGTTTTTCTCTTAGAATTTAGAATGACTATACTTGTCATTATTTTTAAGCGATAAATAAAATGAATAAACTGAAATTGTAAAAACGACAAGTAGATAGACCATATGATGCCAAAATCCGTAGCATCAGAACAGCTGACTTTGATTCACCGGGCAAGTTAAACAGATTTGTATATTAACTGCATTCAACAAGCTGCTCACAGAAAAAGACCCATCAAAATGAAACTTTATTTATATTTAAAATGCTTTTGTGATGTGATAAATATATATTTGAGAGAATTAGAAAAATAGTTAATTGAGCCACAATACTTAATCCAGCAGACTGTGTCTACTTGAAATATTCTATACCATAAGAGTGATATTTTTTAAAATTCAAACGAAGTTGTAATGATTTTATACGCCAACACTATGTTGATCAGTCAAGAGTAGTCTGAAAAGTAAGTTAAACATTTCATAAAGAAATCTCATCAGAGTTAGGAAGTATGAATCTCTTTAGCACTAATCTGTCCTTCATCGTTTTATTACCTAATGTATAATGTAGGTAATCTATCACGTATCAGTTTAAAACTAATTGAAACTTGATAGATTTAGTGCTATTCGTTGAACCCAATGAAAATAGCATGTGATCTTTGCCTTGTTTTTATTCGAATTTCTTCTATTAGTTAACACTGAACATTGTCTAAGTTCTACTCCTGAGTCAGTTATCGAATATTCATGTTTGCGTTGTAAACCGATTTGTATTCCCTTGCCTATATATCTGATACCCTCATGCTTTCTTGTATTAAGTTGAAATACCGAGTCAATATCCTTTGATTTCTAATAACTGATCACGTTCAATCAACCTATGATGAAAATCAATGTAACAAACTTATTCATCAGACTAACTTGTAATGGTGAGTACATGTTTATAATAATTTGATTAGTCTAATCGCAATATTTATTATCCTTAAGTTCTCTAATTTTCTCATTTCCATTGTTATAAGCTCTGCTAAGTTTCCACTTTTTGTTTTCTTCTGGTTTTAACTGTGCTATTAATGGATGTCTGAGTTCTTGGCCAAATCAACTAATATTATCATTACCATTAATATAGTCGACAATGTTAACATTTCAGAATCTTGTCTTCAATATGTTTAGTTGAAGCACTACTAATTATTATTACAATATGGTAAAATGAACGAAGTTACATTATCAAGTAGCTTCAAATCATATGTCCGAAAACTAGTGTTTCTCTTGATTTCGTAATGCGTAAGCCCATACACTACTAATGTCCTTTAATTTTGGGCGTTTTTATTATCGTAGTTGAGACTATTTTTTAATAAATCTCTCATTGGATATAGTTATAAGAATAAATAAATCATTAGAAAGTAAACAGTTCTGTCGATAATTTGCTGTTTACTAGTCAACAGATTCATGATATTATGTAAATCTCCAAAATATCTATTCAAAAAATATTAATAACCATTTATGACTTTTAGTTTACCGAAAGCAAAACGTACGACGCGAATTAACAGAAAGAATTCTTTTCATGTTTCTAACTATGAAGAGAATGAAAGTAATCAGAAACAAAAACATGAACAGTAAATGAATATAAAACTAACAATAAACCTTTTTATAAATTTCTCATCAAGAACGTCATATGATGTAAATGAAATTAAAATTGTGTCAAATCTAGTTTGTTATTTTTTGCACTTGTGGTGCTTTTGTTGATGATTAGCTTTGATTTCGTTATTTTAACCGACATTCATTGTTGAATTCAAGCTAGCAGCACATCATTCATTAGTGAATTATTTTCCCTAGTCGAAAGAAAAACCGTAATATTTCTCGTCTTATCGAGTAATGTTTAAAAGGGAGTCTAGGTCCCATAATCATTCCTCAAATAGGTTGAAATCTTTAGGCCTTGATTTTAATTTATCATTTAAAGGTTGTTTTAAATCCTAGAGTTGCTCTTAAGACCTGCAATTGATCAGCTTTTTTAAGGATATGTGCATCCTAAGCAAATAACGGGTTCAATTTTGAGAACGAAAGACTGTGTGCGATACCTGATTTGTGCATCAACACGTTTGAAAAAGCAACTAGACTCGAACAGACCGAAACACTCGTTGTGGATTGCATTAGTAGCCGCTATCTTAAGCTGAGTAAACTGAATATAACTTAATTGCGATATCGAGTAATTTCGCTCAAGCATATGAAGAAGACGTCAAATGAATAAAATCCTTAGCACCAACCGTAAGGTCCCAAAAGACTTTTAGAGAGAACTCAACAGTTCAAGAAAAAGTCGGAAACCTAGAAGGTATGACAATATCATATACATTATTGATACATCTGCTTGTAAAAGCCAATAAAATTGAGATGATACAAAATTTGATAAAATCACTCCGTTCTATCTAAATGTGCAATTTGTATTCAAAAATGACATGCAAAAACATTAATTTAATGTTAACCGGCGCTGCACACTGTAAACAGTGATATTCATTAACAAACATTGATTCTCCTTGTTAAGTAAACGTGAGTTGTTTTAAACATTTGATTTTGAGATGATTTATTCAACATGGTTGATGAATACAGAAGTATATTTCGTAATATACACCTCTTGTTCGTCGTCTCAAGACAACAACAGTTGTTTCACTGGAACAAAAGATAAGCTACGTAAGATATGCAAATTTTCGAAATAATATGCTGGTAACTAATTTTTAACAAAAAATAATGAATCATCTATGTTCACGTATATTCTAACCTCTAATATAATCTCGGATATAATATATGAAATTAGAAGCTTGGTATTAGCAATATTTTTAAACCTGTAAAATTAATCTTGTCGATGCTGAAGACAAAATCACATCACGCATAAAATGTGTAACTACGTACTATATTTTTCCTTCCTAATACAATACAACTTTTAACAAAATATTTCTTTTAACTAGTCCACACTTTAATCATTGGTTCTTGTTTTCACTCATAATTGGTACATAAAATTTGCTTTCCTTCTTATAAATATATTTTCATTTTTTTGTTTATGAAGCTAACTCTGTGGAGTCTTTATCGAAGTATAAAATTATTTTGTTTTTTTTGCTAAGACTAAAATTTACACATAACAATATTAGAAAACAACTACTCTAAAACACTAGCAACAATGGCTATTAGAAATCTTTGTTTATTGTGTAGGTAAATATAATTGAATTTCTTGAAAACAATTCACAGAATGTGTTGCAGAAAAAAAATGATCAGATAATTAGATTTCACGGCAAATTTATAGCACATGAAAATAATTTGACGTGTACACGTTCATTGTCAGTATACTTGAAAATTTACATGAACAAATTATATTTCTATATTTTCAAGGGTCTGTTTTGTATACTTAGAATTTATCTCTATCTGCTACAAGATTTAAAAAAAGGTTAGAGAATATTGTTGTCCAGGTAAAAAGTATAAAACTACGATTACGTCTGCTGTTGGATATATTGATTAAAGTCAAGGTTATCGTTATTAGATAACTTAATTTAGTCGTTTCATCAGACTCTCATACTTGTATTTCACACAAATGTCTAGAAAAATATTGACACAAAAATGCTCTATTATTAATTACTAAGCATTATCTGACAAATGACACGGTGAAAGCTAATAAATTGTAACACTGTACGGAAACCATTAGTAGGTTGTCAAGACCTAATATAAATAAAAAAACAAGTAAATATGACATACATTAGAGCAAACCAGAATACTACATTAACTTTGAATTGTTGGTCTAAAGAATTATGACAGAAATCAGCTGGTTGGAAACGTACTATATTTTACAAAAGAGAGTCAGAGAAGCATCCAATCTTTTTCTCATTACTGTTATCAGGAAGTAAATGATAATGTAGAAAGGTTCAGAATGTATTCACAAATATTCCAATACATAACCAGTGTAAGAATGGTATATGATTGTAAATAAATTATTTCTGGGATTATTCGACTAAAAAATAACTCTTAACATTCGGCTTTGTAGAGCTAAGTACACAAGTACACCTTTGTCTTACACTTAACGCAATGTAACATGAGAAACGAATAATCTATGCAAATCTACTGATGAAACATGAAAGAATATAATTTAAATGTTGTAACGACGATGGTGTCTGGTTTCAAGAAGCTCGTAAGTAGCTTAATTTTTAACTATTGAATATACACGATTAAATACAGTAGAAAGATGAAAAATATACTAGTTAGTAACAAAATCTAAACAAAAAAATACGTTAGATCCTTTGACCAGACATTTTTAGCAACAACCTACTGTGGGGGACAACAAACCAGATCCCAGCGGAGGAAGAAATCAGGAAGAAGCGGTGGAAGTGGATAGGACACATATTGAGGAAAGCACCCGACTGCGTCACGTGGCAAACCCTTACCTGGATAACTCAAGGTCAAAGGAAAAGAGGAAGACGAAAGAGCACAATACGCCAAGAAATGGAAACAGACATGCGAAGAATGAGCTACAGTTGGATAGAACTAGAAACGAAGGCCAAGAATAAAGTGCGTGGGAAAATGCTGGTGGGAGGCTTATGCTCCATTGGGATTAACAGGCGTAAGTAAGTAAGCAGCAAGGAAATCAGTCTGTTCAGAACGCGGTTACTGATGAGTAAAAAAAGTACATTCTAATAGTTTTCATTGGAAATTGCTGACCTAAATAATTAATATTTAGCAGTGCAGAAAGCTGAGAAAAGTTGTGTAGAAAATAGTATATAGATCAAGGAAGGGATAATACCTATGATAGAAGATACTATTAAAGGAAACTATTATTTGAATTGTTATTATCATTGTATCAAAAGTAATCACCGTTTTCATCAGTCTCACTTTGTGTTTTTAGTATTCTGAAGATATATTTGCTAGACTTTTAGTTATAGCCCATGTCTACAAATCTTAGGTTCTGTCACCTATTTTTTTTGTTTTTCTTTTCCTTATAAATACATTTGAAATTTACAAGATGACAAATAAATTATATTTCTATTTTACTCTGTGCATGAAAACAGAAACCATTTAACTTCATTTTTGTTTTGCATTCCCACTTTTTAAATTTGGGAAATAAATAAATGCTAACGGATGGTAAATTTAGTTTAAACATATTAACTAACTGAAAAACCGAATAAACCAACCGTTTTATTTATTTAAATAAAAATACCTATGGTAAATGTCAGTTCCAGTTCCTCATTCAACTAACTGACTGACGTTTATTCACATTCGGTTCGCGGATAATCACTGATACTTTTGTCGAAAATAACAGCGAAAGCTTCTTAATCAAGCAACCCAAGTAAACCCAAAACTACCAAAACCTGTGAACCACCTGCTTAAATATTGGTATGAATTTTTTGTTGTTGAACATTCTAATACTGGATTATTTGGACTATTTTCCAAAACGAGTTTGATTATTTTAATTCGCTCATTGTAATTAAACAAATTAATGATTTATTGTAATCATGTTTTTTTAAATTGACAATGAATTAAGGCTTGTACCTGGAAGATGTTAAATGTTCATTCATTATTATCAGACATTCACGAAAAACCGGAAATAACTTATCTTCATAGTAGATTATTTTAAGTAATTTCATTTCGAAGATGGAGTGAGTACTGGAAAGTTACATGTATTCTCTAACAGTGCTTTTACTGAATTCACTATGAATTAAAAATGTGAAATATCACAGTTTACCAAAGAAATCTTTTTATCAACTCTAGAAGGAAGTTGAAACAAGCGTCTTTTATTTGTTTCAATCAGAAGTAAAACAGTTTAAAAAACGTAATTCGCATGACTGCGTAACGTCTTTTCTAATGACTGTGTAATTTAAGTCGGAAAATCTGAAAATCTTTTACAATAGAATTTTTTTACCGGCAATGTCACTGAGACTAGTTAACTAGTATTTTGCTAACTCATTTCTTCCTCTTATATCTCGGATCTCCATTTTGCATTTTCAGTGCTCTAAATAAAGCATAGTTATAAATAAATAATATATTTGTAATATTCCAATGAGTAGAAAATTAGTTCATCTGAAAAACATTTGTGCACATTAAACTCCTCTTCTTTCTTTGAGTTTTAACACCTAAGTTGACCTACAAAAACATCTCACTATATTACTGTTATGCTGTTATTCGATTAATTGTTCTTCTAAATATCGTGATTACTTAATTTTTTAAAAAAACTTTAAAAAACTTCAGGCACCTGGATACAGATTACTATTAACGACTTAGCTTCAAATATCCTTTCATTCATTAAAACGTTCCTGTTGTTTTATACATCTGCAGATGTTTTAGACACTTTTCAAACCTTATCAGGCATCTGGAAAGACAACCTTATTATTTCAAGGTGAATATTTTTCGTTGATTTGATGGGTGTGGGATGATGAGAAATTGATAGTGATATATTAGATAGCGTCAAGCGCGAAAAAATAACTAATTTAAATATCTTGACTGAAACAACCATAACTAAACTGTTAAGTTGGGAGTAGTATTCTTACTTATATCGAAATGTTCACAACCTATATGCAGTCTATTTAAGAAAGACTTTAAACTTTTGAATGATTTTTCAGATCCTAGTCTCAGAGTGAACTATTTTTTTGTTTAAAATATTGGTTTGACTAGTGGAAAAAAGTATCAAACTTTGTTTGATAGATCATGCCAGGCAATAAGACATAACTGTAAAGCCATGGGCACCATTATTTTACCATTACTTCAGTCTCCAATAGGATACAGATTTATATGTTTATGCACAAGTATATAACTCACCTAGATTCATTTTTCGTATATGTCTGTATTCAAAGTAATAAAACATCATCATTTTTTGTCTTTTTAATCTGTACCCTTTACAGTAGATGAGTAGTTATTTAGGTAATAAACTTGACTCAGCTATTTGAAACATACATTGCTTTTCGTTTGCTCGGTTCGAGTGTTGTCTCTGTTGTATCGATAAATGACAAATTTGTACAGTTACTTCTGTTTTATACACCTCTGAAAGTTCTATATAATTAAAGGGTACGTATTTGTACTACACTTTCGCACATAAAAGAGAACAGTGAAGATTTGTAGCTCAGGTGGATGATTTTGATGAAGTTTTGTTCTCTAAGCTGGATGGTTTGATCGTGAAGCTTTCAGCGTTCTTCTGAACGACATCATCAGCACAAACTTCAGGTAGAAGAAGACGATAATGTCACGGTGGGACTATGTCATTGTTTTATCAACCGTGGTGTTCAAAATCTCATTATTGAGCTGAAGCTTTGTAAGTGATCATCCGTTCGTCTATTGAAAACGTGATACACCAAACGCAAAATTTGTATATGGTTTTCTTTTGATGACTTATATCCACATCAATGTCTACAACAACCTCTAGCAAATGCTTAGTAACTTTAAAATCTACTGGTAGTATGGAGGAAAAATTAATAAGTTCTATATATCTTAACTGTCATCTAAGTATTGTAGACAAACTGTAATGTTTAACTATCAGTTACTTAATAACATGCTTTTAGCTACCCAAAATAGTTCAAATGAAAACACAACTGTCTACTTGAATAATAAACAGCTGTCGAATACTTCGTAAATACTGATGTATCTATTAATATTATTAACTAGTAACATAATACAAACATCCATATGATACAATGAGTACACTGTCACCTACTACATAAAATACCTTTTCATTTCCTTAATATCAATGTAAAAGAAATGTCTTGAGAATCTGAAAGGCAAGTTAAATAATTCACTACGAATGAATGTTTTGAATCTTTCCATTGAAAACTTTAACAGGGATATATGACAGAGTATTTACGAGATTATTTACTTAAATATTTTCAATAAAAGTTAGTTACAAAAAAAAATCATTTATGAATAAACCATTACTATAATCAATATTAATTGACATAAAATGATTAGGAACTGAAATATTACCGATACAGTTAACTTTCTAAACTTAAATTTGATATCTTACGAGTGATTCATATTGGATGACGGTTCGGTGGTCTAGAGGTTAGGCGTTCGTTCGTGAGGCCGATAGGACGAAACGGCCGTTTGGTGCTGTTTAGGTTTTTTATAATGGTCTAGCTTCAGTTGGCTCATAATTTCAACTATTAAAGTCACTATAATATCCACAAAACCCCTTCTAATACTGATTTATATTTATTGAAAATTATTATTGCTCTGAGATAAAAACGGAAGATTAAATGCCTTAATGAAAAAACACTTCATACTTGCAATATTATTTATTTGTATGACATTTATCAATGAAAGTTTCTTTTAATCGTGAATTTTTTTGACAAGTAAGTATAATAAGTCAAACCTTTCAAAATCAGGTGGATATATCTCCTTACCGATTTACTTGGAATGTAGTTATATAAAATATCAAAGTGAGTCTATTAACTATGTATAATTCCTTAGAGAATAATGAAATTTCATACCACCATTGTTAACAGTCTGCTTTTCAATTTTTTATTTGATTCTCTGGAGTTTTAAACTATGTGGATGAGATAAATGTCAAAGAACTACGGAAACTAGAGTAATTCAGTGATCTCAATTCACCTTTTAACTTAACGGAATTAAATGGCTTTTAGTTTATCAATTTTCAATGATTTATGATAATATAGTCCTTAAGTGAAAAGCGACAATCATTCACTCCCTGATCGAAACGACTTATAATAAAAAATATGTATTTCTATGTTGATCAAAGTAAGAAGCTATTTTAATTTATCAATGACTTCTGATTGCTTCCTAATAGAAAATAAATGATAATGTGATGTAGAAAATACTAAGGAACTGAACTAATACTCTCGTATGATTGTAAATAAATAAATATTTACTTTAAAATGAGTTATGATTATAAAATTGATAAGTGTCGGTTGGAAATATTAAGTAGGATTGAGATGTTTCCAGATCTCTGATGTTAATACAAAACAAACATGATTTGTCTATCCAGAGTTATTCGCAATGTTACGAGAATAACCGGATAAGTAATTCCATGTATAGTGTGAAGAATTTTAGTTTCTGTAAGAAGAAGTGACATTTGCTCATTAAATATTCCAATAAGAAATTGTTGAAAAAGTGTAGTAGTTATTACGTTTTTGATAAATGAGATTTAAATGAACAATAGCTACTATAATTAATTACCATAAACGTTCTATGATGATATTTTATATCGAATTTTGTTGGTCATTTTAAAAAATCAAATATTTGAAACACTACAACTTACTTTACTTTGAATAATTTCTGGAGCTAAATATTCAGGAGTACCACACAGTGTGTATGTTCGATATTTCACGTGTTTAACAAAGCCAAAGTCAGCAATCTGTAAAAAAAGAGATCATAAAGTGTTCTCGGGAATACATACCTAACATACTGAAATATTTATTGTTTACATATGTGAATTAATGAATAGATAGAAAGCTAACAATTCTTAAACAATAAATATTTTTTGGTAAAAGAACGACAATCGCAATCAACAGTAGGAGACTTCATGAATAATTAAGGGAGAATTCTGTTTTCTTTCTTGGTATGAATAGCCCCAACACATATTCTCTTATCTAAGCTAAAAGAAAATAGTTTAGCATCAGCTAAAAATCGCGAAAAATTTCATTCTTATCACGTATACGTATTTCTAAACATTTTGATTCATTAGAACATTAATTTTACTATTTTACTCAATATTTATTATAAAGCCTAACAAAGATAATGCAGTTGTCAAAACAAAGTTCATACTTATATAAAATCTTATATACTAATCCGTTTGTATGAAAAGTACTTATTACAAATTCCAGTTGTTTCAAGTAATTCTAGAAAACTCCGATAACATCACTAATTATAGTCTAAATTAATCTACTCTGTAGTGAATAGCTTCATCAAATTACGAAACGAGAGTGAAACAGAGTAAATATCATCATTCATTTTTAAGTACTCATAGAAGAATTAATGCATTTGATTTAACTGTAACCTGTTATTCAGTTTAAAGTGAAAATTCTAGTCTCAACTTCGTTTTAGGTTCATATTTTAGCAGATATCCCCAACATTTATGTCAGCTCAACGTTTCCCGGCTAAACGTTCGAAACTAATTGCTGTGAAAGTAAAAACAATTCTTAAATAATGTCTACACACATGTTCATTCAAAGTGATTTGATTATAATTGCAAATTAAGCAAACTTAAGACAAACATACAAACATCAACGGCAAATATTCTGTTATGAGCTTCATCACGTTTGAATAGCTGTTTTTCATCGAATCTTCAAATGAACCATACTACTTCTTACATTCTTGTTAATTAAACCAATAATTCAAGTTAAACTAACGTTTTGCATTATCCAAGTCTCTCGTTGTAAAATAATCGAAAGTCAATGCAGTTTAAATGTCAAGTAATGTCAAAACATCTGAGTTTACATGATATTGAGATTCGAATCTTTTTATACATACGAAACATGTCGAAAAACCACAAGTACAATTTTTAACGACATATATGTTTCCAAATTCACTTTGAAATCAACTTTAACGTATGTTTACACAACAGAGACTAGTAAATAATGAAATAATAAAGAGGTAAGCTCTGTCTTGAAACTACTGAAAATGTTTGCTGCATCCTTTTATTTATAAAAATTTCTTGATAAGCGTAAGATCAGATAAAATCAAATGTCAGAGATAAAGCATAAAAATATAATTAATGTACTTTAGCACTTAATCATGAACCCTTATGTTTCAAATAATAGACTCGAACCGTGAAAGGTTGCTCTATAGGCCACAAAATTCCAACCCCACTCTGTATGTATAGCAATTTATATTACAACTTGATCAAAAGCATTTGTTTTAAGGACCTATTCGCTGTTGTTTGAAGCTCGAGTCATTTGCCAATGAATGTCTATTATATATATATATATATATATATATATATATATATATATATATATATATATATATTTCATGGGACCTGAAGCATCACTTGTTTCGCTTTCTTCAATAAATCATGAATGTCTCGAAATCTTTTAAAAACGTCATGCTAGCAAATTTAGGGCCTAATTCTCGAGTTTTGTTCCAAATTTTATTGGGATTTAACTTGAAACAAAACAGATTCAATTGGCTCAACTAAGTTATATATTTAAAAAAACGTAGTTTTTTTTTTAAATCCCCTAGTTTATTGGATCAGTCATTTAGAAAATAGAGCGAACTAAAAGTAAACATTTTTCACTAGGCTCAAACAAAACAAAAACAATTAGTCTTCCCCTGATTATGAATGCACACCCTTTTTATTAAAGTGTAATTCGTGAGTGCTCATCATAGAAATACTCTAGAAATCTGACTTTAAAAATTGTCTGGTTTCTCTCGGGATTATTTATCAAGACCAACAATATTTTCTTTTCTTCTTCCAACGGTTAACAATAATGCATAGAAGATGGAACGTCACTAATACAACATAGCAGATTTCTCGAAACATTATAGGGAATATAGACTCATGGTTTTTGAAGACGTATCCTGTAGTCATACTTAATTTCTGCCTAAGGTTGTCGACTATATTTAATAATGCAACTATAAAGGTGAATACAGACCCATGAACAATCATGAATAAAAGTCAACGTTTTCTTAATTTTCACACTCAAATCTCAGTATAATTATCTTTTAACAATGACTCCATAGTTTGATACTTTGAGTTAATAATCTCGTCATTCAAAAATAAATGTTTCTCATAACAATGTACTTTTTATAGTTAAGTTGGAGAATGACTCCATTTTGTGGTCACTAGCTTACTAAATTCATATGTATTACAAATATTTTAATTTCAGTAGTTATGGTAAAAACAGATATATTAATACAAGCTCAGTTGAACTTAGAACACTGCTTTAGCAAAATCGCAACAAAGTCCAATTAACACAGTCTCACTTTAGATTACTGTCTTTACATTTCAGAATAATCTCAAAAGACTGCATTTAGTTACATAATTAAGCAAACAAGTTACAGTTTACTGAATTTACTACTTGATATTTTATTTTAAAAATATTGTGACTGATTCAATTACCAATTTTCGTATCAATGTCTGTAAATGGTCTAAATTACCCAACTAGAACGTTTTCTTGTAAATAATGGTTGTATAATATATAGACCAAGTCCCAATTCTTACCCGGTACCATACATTTCAGTAATGAGCATTTATTCCTATAATTGTCATCAACGTTGAAAGTTCTTACTTTGTAAACGGACAGACATCACAAAAATGGTTGGATTTGAATCCTATTGACTACTTTTTTAAATCCAGAAAGACCAACCATAGTGCAACATCAAACTTGTTGAAGTAAATAAGTAGTTGAATATTCACTTTGATACACCTAATCACTTAGCGACTCGTCAGTATACACCCAACATAAAGAAAACTGGCATACTGTTGGGTAACTATACTTTTCGAATCGGTAATTTATTTCAAATCCCTTTGAAAATAATCTTGTTATTAATTCTATTTAAAAAAAACCTCTTTGATTTAAGCCATTCCTCAAAGTAAACTAAACAGATTACTTCAATAATGTTAAATTACTAATCCTCAAACATTCATTTGGTGTAACGCAGGCTATATTTGTCCACTTTATGTATTTATATCAAGATGTTTTAATATGCCTCAGAACATTCTCTAGACGTCATGGTCAGCTTTTCATATCTCACCAATTATATGGTTATCAATATTTCAAACTATTCTATCATGACTTTCCATAAAGTGGAAACACCTGGCTACAAAACTGATAACAAACATTAATAAAAATGTTTTCTTAATAAATCATTTGTGTGATTCCAGCAAGTGATATAAGAAAACAGGTGCAAATGAATAGACCCCTAAATACTTTAAAATATATTTAGTTTGCTTTTCAAGTGCATTTCATATGATATCACGCCAGGAGAACACTTTAACACCATATTAGGTTGGGCAAAGAACAAAATAGAACCAATTAAACAGACAGTCATTATTCCAATCCAAAGCCCCAAGTGAAAATTAACGTAAACGACACTTTTCTGTACATGATATGACGTCTTCATGCATGTGTTCTCGTATTATGCAATCATTTATTTCAAGAAATTTTGGATACCTTAAAACAACCAGTTTTGAATATGATGAATAATTATTTCGAGCTTCATATAAGTTGAAAAAAAGGGCATTTACTTTTTATCTGACCGATACCTTCACGTTGTTAGTATCACTAATCGACCTAAGTTAGACGACCACTAATGCCCAAGAAGCATGTTACAGTCGTTTCATTCAAGTGTGGAAATCCTACCAGTGTATATCGACCATCCTGCTTCCGGGGATTGGAACGAAGACCTTCAGTTTTGCATGTGAACGCCTAAACTTCAGACGAGTGAGGCGGAATTCATTGGTGAGAATGTCCAAATTTAATCAGCTTACAATGATCCGCAACAATTTTCCATTCATATTTTAATTTGTTTAAGAAAAAGTAAAGATTTTTGAAATTTTGGATTTTCAACAAAAACTTTGATGACTATTTTATCTTGCTGACGTTAAAAAATTTGTTTTAATAGCAAGATAACCTTATAAGCTGTCGTTAATTTATTTTATAGTGTTCATTTAACCCAACAAAGATTATGTCATAAAATTTAAAACTCAAACTATATATGTCCTCGTGTCTATGTAATATAAAACACATCTTTAAAGGAATGGGATTAACATACTATGGTATAAGAGGAGGATAGTTACACTGGAATATATTGAAATATGTTTTTATAACATTTTGGTTCATTCTTGCAAGGTATATGAAAACATCAGTAAACGCATTGCATTACCTTTAATGTAACACTAACTTTTACTTAATGACATTCCCAATAAATATTAGGCAATCTTAATTGTTTGGACCATCAGGATGCTTAGTACCTGTGTGATTGCGCCACAGGATTGAACTGTACTATTCAGATTGTAGCGTTAAAGCCTATACGGTGTCTGGTTTCCCTGCTAAACGGGGTTGAGCTGTACTATTTGGGTTTTCACTTGAAAGTCCGGATGGTGTCTGGTTCTCCTAAAAACCAATGTAAAATTACCCTGGCCCACAAGGGTATATCATATATATATATAATCTTCATTGTTAATATTACCAATATGTGACTTAATATAGCCATCTTTATTGTTAAGTTATTGTCACTTCATTACCCCTAAATGAATGGCATATATGATCATATTCTATCCATTTTTACTCGATTATGTCTTAACTATGTTATCAGTTGCAGTTTACAAACTGAATAGTAAATTAGAGCAATCGTGATTCGATAAATTTTGTGGTCATAAAAAGACATACCTTATACATGATGCCTGAGATC